TACTTGTATTGTGACATCGCGAGGACAGACAACCGCCACCGACGCATTCTGTAAAGGTGCTCGCCATACTTGTATTGTGACATCGCGAGGACAGACAACCGCCACCGACGCATTCTGTGAAGGTGCTCGCCATACTTGTATTGTGACATCGCGCGGACAGACAAACGCTGTCACCTAGTCTAGCTTTATGAGCATGTTCCATATGATCCTGGGGTAACATGAAGCATATGATATCCGATTTTTAACATTTTCCCTCCATGACATGTTTTTCTTTTTTTTATTGTTTCTCTTAAAGATTCTCAGTCTGCCAGGTATGACGCCCTTAAAACGTGCGAAAGATTCCGAAACATAAAGCCTCCCAACTGGAACAAACTGGCGGACTGCACGGAATTAAAGGACAGCGTGACGCAAGGACTCCGCCAGAAAGCAGAGGAGACCTCCCGCATCCGGGTAACGCCAGACACCCCATCACACACGCACACACGCACGCGTGTGAATAATGAATGCGGAATAAATGGTAACACAATGTCTTCTATTAGGACGATGTGACGCTGGCGCTGGGAGACGTGAAGAACATGATTCAGAGGCAGCAGAGGATGTACGAGGAGCTGGAGGGCAGTTATCAGCTGCAGCTGGTATGTGTGACGCAGATCTGTGTGTTCCCGGGGTCAAAGCTCCGCCCACTCCAGGGGTCATTATAGACTCATCCAGAACACTGGCGGGAGCATGCACAGAATAATAGGGCACAGGGGGGGCTGCATATGGTGTGAACGGGCCCTTAGCCCTGCTTGCCCTAAGGCTGGGTTCACACCTGAGCATATCAAAAATGCGCGTTTGTCACACGTTTCGTGATGCACGTTTTTACAGCGATTCGCGGTAAAAAAACGCGCAAGAAATGTGCTTTTCCAAGGGCTGCTTGGCTGTATCCCAATGGAAACGCGCGACAAAAACGCCCCAAAGAAGCTCCTGTACTTCTTTGGGTGTAGGACGTTTTGTAGCGCGTTCAGACGGCCTGAAATACACCCAGGTGTGAACCATACCCATAGGAAATAATGAGATTTCGGTGTTTGAGCGTTTTGCAGAGCGTACGAACGCGCTACAAAACGCCCAGGTGTGAACAGGGCCTTAATGTAAAAGACTGCAGGCCCATCCTCGCCCCCCGCCGTCTCTCTCCAAAGATCAACTGTATTGGAAGTGACAAGTTCAATAAAGAGAACCTGGACCTGTCACCTCCAAATGCTATCAGACATGGGCTTGTTAGCTCCTGTGTGATAGCAATGAAGTTTAGTGGGGAAAAAAAATTGATAGAAAAATAATTAAATAAGTGAAAATCAAAGCAAGTAAAAAGTAATAAGAAATAATAATTCAAATTAAAAATTAAAAGGTGATTAAAGTAAAAAATTATAATATTAAATAAGTAAAAAATAATAAGATACAAAAATTTAAAAAAGTAAAAAAATTAAAACTAACCCTGCCTCCCACCCGCCATCTGGTTGCCATTCTCCATTGGTGGGGTTGGCGAGGACGGGGGCACATTGAGGAACCTGGCAGCAGAGAGGGTAAATCCGGCCCTGACCATATCCATCTAGAAGATTGTAAACTTACTTATTGAAGATGCCCATAGGATGGAGTTCCTCAAAGCACTGACACGTTTTCACGAGCCCTGTGAATATGCACTTCCTGGTGTCACCACTCTCGCAGAGCCTGATTTCTGAACTACAACTCAAGTGGTGGAGGAAGGGGGATATAGAAGAACGCCGGGGCTGTACATTACATAAGGAGACAATGAGGATTCATCACCTGTACAATGTTACATTTATTTTTCAGGGTCCAGAGTCCAGCTTGGATCTCACTGTAAGAGAACGTCTGGACCGTCCGCTGGTGAGAATCCTGCAGAGACACCCAGGAACCCAACTCCCCGAGAGCACCCTAATCTGCCAGGTAAATGTCAGCCATGTGCATGCACCCAGCCAAACGTGGACTTTAAAGAAAACATTGGTTACTAAGTGATCACTAAAGGGATGGGTCAGGTGATCATTAAAGGGATGGGTCAGGTGATCATTAAAGGGATGGGTCAGGTGATCATTAAAGGGATGGGTCAGGTGATCACTAAAGGGATGGGTCAGGTGATCACTAAAGGGATGGGTCAGGTGATCACTAAAGGGATGGTCCACCAAAAACTGCAACCATATGGGCCAATGCCTGCTTAAATCTGAATCCCTTCAGTCTTGCACAGTTGTACCGCCTCCTCTCCTGGACTGAAAAGACTTCCTCTGATGTTACTGCACAGTGCGAGCTTCTCACAAAGTACATTAGAAGCTTCAGCAAGTCAGATAGAGCGCGCCTCATTTCCTGGCTGGAGGACGTCCTGCATCGTCTAGCGATTTCCACCCCAGCCTGTATCTGGCTCAGCATGACATGTGGGCATTGCCTAGGGCGGCGGTCTACGTGCAAATACAGCCTGCCTAGGAACGCTAACTCCTCCGCTGACACCCACACGTCAAGCAATTCTGAAATTTGCATAACTCCTCCCACTTGCTTGCATCAGGGCTGAGGGCAAAGAGAAGCACAGAGGTCCAGTAATGGCATCACTGGAACTACAAAAATGAAATGAGAAAGTTTTATTTAAAAATGTCATTACAATGTTGATAAAATGGGGAGGGGTGTAAATAGGGTTGCCACCTTTTCTTCAAGTGAAACCCGAACACACTAGTGACGTGCGGACATTTTTTTGGGGGAGAATGAGTGGTGGCTTATTCATATGTAAATATCACAGTTAAGACTATTTTCAGTGGGGGCCCCAGTAGCCCCTATCTTAATTTTGGTTGCCCCTGTCTGTCTGACCTCTTGTGTCCGGGTCTCTGCTGCCATGAAACCCGAACACAGCATTCAAAACCCGGACTGTTCGGGTGAATCCTGGACAGGTGGCAACCCTAGGTGGAAACAGGAGAAGGTAAAATATAAGCAGAATAGACTTCGGCTTTAAAGAAGAGCAGGTTGGAGGCCAGTTATCAGCTGCAGCTGGTATGCATGACGCAGGAAAGCAGATCTGTGTGTTCCCGGGTCCTAGCTCCGCCCACTCCAGGGGTCATTACAGACTCACCCAGAACATTGGCGGGAGCATGCACAGAATAATAGGGCAGGGGCGGGGCTGCAGTCCTGGCCAGAATTAGTGTGACAATCTGGGAAATTATGTCATTTTAACACAGATACCGCGTTTACTGGATCGCACAGGCAGATCTTTTTTGCTGTCGCATGTCTGAACCACCTGGGAATTTTTTTTAAAAGGTAGCTTAGGCCGAAAATTTGAAATAAATCTGTCTTTTCATAGGTTCCATCCCACTCCGAATAACTGGACCTGTCCTTGCAGCACGGCTGTTTCCCTGGAACGCAATATTACTTCATGGCTGCTTATTATTACAAAGTATCCAGTTACATGCAACATTGTTTTCTTTAAGGAGCATTATGAGGCGAGTGATTTTCACTCAGCCTCATAATCTGAGCCGGCGTGTGACAATGAAACTGTCACAGGTCGGGAAGTAGATCGGGAAGTGAGTGAACACATACCGGCGCTCGCTCACTTCTCGATCCTGTCACTGCAGAAAGCTGTGACTGTCACTCACGGCTCCCTGCAGGGATTCCCCCCTCCCCGCTCCGATCCTCCAGTGTGATCACTAAAGGGATGGGTCAGGTGATCATTAAAGGGATGGGTCAGGTGATCATTAAAGGGATGGGTCAGGTGATCATTAAAGGGATGGGTCAGGTGATCACTAAAGGGATGGGTCAGGTGATCACTAAAGGGATGGGTCAGGTGATCACTAAAGGGATGGTCCACCAAAAACTGCAACCATATGGGCCAATGCCTGCTTAAATCTGAATCCCTTCAGTCTTGCACAGTTGTACCGCCTCCTCTCCTGGACTGAAAAGACTTCCTCTGATGTTACTGCACAGTGCGAGCTTCTCACAAAGTACATTAGAAGCTTCAGCAAGTCAGATAGAGCGCGCCTCATTTCCTGGCTGGAGGACGTCCTGCATCGTCTAGCGATTTCCACCCCAGCCTGTATCTGGCTCAGCATGACATGTGGGCATTGCCTAGGGCGGCGGTCTACGTGCAAATACAGCCTGCCTAGGAACGCTAACTCCTCCGCTGACACCCACACGTCAAGCAATTCTGAAATTTGCATAACTCCTCCCACTTGCTTGCATCAGGGCTGAGGGCAAAGAGAAGCACAGAGGTCCAGTAATGGCATCACTGGAACTACAAAAATGAAATGAGAAAGTTTTATTTAAAAATGTCATTACAATGTTGATAAAATGGGGAGGGGTGTAAATAGGGTTGCGACCTTTTCTTCAAGTGAAACCCGAACACACTAGTGACGTGCGGACATTTTTTTGGGGGAGAATGAGTGGTGGCTTATTCATATGTAAATATCACAGTTAAGACTATTTTCAGTGGGGGCCCCAGTAGCCCCTATCTTAATTTTGGTTGCCCCTGTCTGTCTGACCTCTTGTGTCCGGGTCTCTGCTGCCATGAAACCCGAACACAGCATTCAAAACCCGGACTGTTCGGGTGAATCCTGGACAGGTGGCAACCCTAGGTGGAAACAGGAGAAGGTAAAATATAAGCAGAATAGACTTCGGCTTTAAAGAAGAGCAGGTTGGAGGCCAGTTATCAGCTGCAGCTGGTATGCATGACGCAGGAAAGCAGATCTGTGTGTTCCCGGGTCCTAGCTCCGCCCACTCCAGGGGTCATTACAGACTCACCCAGAACATTGGCGGGAGCATGCACAGAATAATAGGGCAGGGGCGGGGCTGCAGTCCTGGCCAGAATTAGTGTGACAATCTGGGAAATTATGTCATTTTAACACAGATACCGCGTTTACTGGATCGCACAGGCAGATCTTTTTTGCTGTCGCATGTCTGAACCACCTGGGAATTTTTTTTAAAAGGTAGCTTAGGCCGAAAATTTGAAATAAATCTGTCTTTTCATAGGTTCCATCCCACTCCGAATAACTGGACCTGTCCTTGCAGCACGGCTGTTTCCCTGGAACGCAATATTACTTCATGGCTGCTTATTATTACAAAGTATCCAGTTACATGCAACATTGTTTTCTTTAAGGAGCATTATGAGGCGAGTGATTTTCACTCAGCCTCATAATCTGAGCCGGCGTGTGACAATGAAACTGTCACAGGTCGGGAAGTAGATCGGGAAGTGAGTGAACACATACCGGCGCTCGCTCACTTCTCGATCCTGTCACTGCAGAAAGCTGTGACTGTCACTCACGGCTCCCTGCAGGGATTCCCCCCTCCCCGCTCCGATCCTCCAGCGCTGACTGGCGGAACAGACGGAGGAGGGGGTGGGTACTGCGGGCTCTGCCTCTAGATAGGCAGAGCCAGCTGTCAATCACGCAGCTGGGTGGATCTCGATAGTAATGTCGGGATCCGTCCGGGCTGCAGCGTCTCAGTATCCCGCGAGCTGTAGCTCCCTATATACTGAGCTTAGGGTGACGGGAGGACGCTAGTTTGTGTCCTCCCGTTACCCTTCGGAGAACTATGGGGAAAAGCCCTGACCCAATAGTTCTCCTTTAACATGTAAATCACTGGTGAGCGCCGTTCTCTTTTACACAGAAGAGAAAATAGCATTAGCCTAAGAACATTCGAGCAGAAGAAGAGAAAATACACTAAGAACATTCGATTTTGCCCCATTCACACAACAGCTGGTTCATTCACACAGAATGAATGTATATACAGTTTCACTGGATGAATATACAGTATATATATATATCATATTTCTTCTGTTCTCTCTCTCAGGGCTCTGCTTCTCTAGAACAAGCTCTCAGCAAAGCACAGGACAGGATCGGCGTTCTGCACATGATACAAATGAAGCTGCGGGAGGACCAGGAGAACAAGATGTGGGGAGAGCGCATTGACCGGGCCGCCACCAGGCTGCGGGTGAAGAGCGCCAAGGGCCGGGGAGAGAGGCTGTGCCTGTGAGGAGAGGGGCAGCCAGGAGGATGTCGTATCAATAAACCGTGACAACGCTGATGTGTGAAACTATACCGACGGCTGTGAATTAAAGCAAAACACTTTATTCTGCTGCGTCCCCTGACTTCCTGTGCGCCGCAGCCCCGAACTTCCTGTCATGGAGCATGCACCAAAAATGCAATTTCCCTTCATTACTCTCTTTTTTGAACTTTAGATTTTTATTAAAGTATATAGGGTTTGCATTGTCAACAATAATGATTACATCCGATTATGGCAATACATAAGGATCTTCATGTATACAAAAATTTTGAGGTTCCTATAATATCCTCTATTGGAGCAAATAAGCATGTAGTAAGTACAAGAACTAGGATGATAATAACTAGTCTTCTTGCGTGATTACCATTAATCAGGAATATACACCTTAAACAAAATACAACAGGAAAGAAGAGAGGAAAATATAGAGGTGAAAGGCTAAAGTGTAAAGGGAAGAGTGACAAGGAACCATGGAAGATCAATCCATTTAGTGAAGTGAAGGCACAATGTAGAACATGGTAAAGTCAATCTACTAACATACTTCAAATATTTCAAATATCAAGTTTTGAAAAGTGAATCCAAGTGTCCCACCTTTTGTGGAACAAAGTTCCAGAATTCAACCTATATGCAATGGAACGTTCGTATCGACAGGTGGAGGACACTCTATGAATGATATCCGATATAGTTGGAATATGTGGAGTTCGCCAATTTCGTGCAATTAGGGTCCTAGCTGAAAATAGAATATGCATGACAACTGATCTGTATTCCTGCGGATATTCATCAATAGAGACACTCAAGAGCGCCTTTTCAGGTGACAGCGGCCCTTCATTACTCTCAACATGTCCCATCATGCCTAGTGCCGGTGCGCATATGTCCAATGTCATTCATCAAATTTTCCTGATCTGAGGTCCCTCCCCACCCCGACACGGCACAGGCAGCCTGTGGTGGCAACTTGTAGAAGGCAACTTATAGAAGGCTCCTCCCTCTCATGGAGGAGCAGCCAGTGGCGGGTCTTTTGTATTTGTTGTTCTCTCAGGCTCTCTGCGCAGGAAGTGTCCTCATATCACTCTAGCCCCATCCTGGGACCGTACATAGGACCCTGCAAGGGAAAGGGGCCACCCTAAATCCAGAGGTCAGGTCCACACCCACAGGGACTATCTAAAAGAGCGCGAGATTTGGTGATCTAAGCAGCATTTTAACCCCTTAATGACCAAGGCCTTTTTTTAATTTTTCTGCACCCATGTTAAAAATCCACATTTTAGGCCTGATAATGACTTCAATCCCCCCCAAAATATATTTTCTGAAAGCCGAAACCCTGTAGAATAAAAGGGCGGCAGTTGCAAATTTTGTATGTTGCACGATATTAGCGCAACTTATTATCAAACCCAAAAATTCTATGAAAAAACGCATTTATGTTAAATTTAGTGCCCCAGAACATGATAAAATACCCATTTTTAAAAAATAAAATATATAAGATGAGGTTACGAGTACATAGATACCCAACACGCCCAGGTTACAAATTGTGTGCGTCTGTGAAAACGGCGACAAAATTCAGTACCCACAAAAAGTCCATAGACGACGCTTTAAAAGCCCCTACAGGTCATCAGTTTAGAGATACACATACGTAGGCGCACCCGGCGCATGTTTACAGAAGAACGCGCGTGTTCGCGGGGGACTTTAAAAATGTTTTAAATGATCACTCTGTAACAAACGTAGAAATACTTTGCCGCACTCCTTACCGGGAAGCCCCAAAATAAGGGGGGGGAGGGTGCTCGCAGTGACCGCGGATGGCGCAGCCAAACAGTAAAAAATAAACGGATGTCATCAGCACACCAATAGTGTTGAAGTCCAAAGTGTTTGTTTATTGGAACATCATGTCATCGCTGAGCCTGATGAAGGGGACCCTGCGTGGCCCCGAAAAGCGTCAGTTCTGGTGACATGATTTTCCCTTAAACAAACACTTTGGACTTCAACACTATTGGTGTGCTGGTGACACCCATATCACTCTGTAGTCCCATCCTGGGACCTTACATAGGACCCTGCAAGAGGAAGGGACCACCCTAAATCCTAAATACTTGCCCCCCATGTGATAGCATACTTGCTATTTTACTTGCCCCCCCATGTGATAGCATACTTGCTATTTTACTTGCCCCCCATGTGATAGCATACTTGCTATTTTACTTGCCCCCCCATGTGATAGCATACTATGGGGGGATTATCCCGTCATAGGTCGTGAAGGGGTTAAACGGGTACGCTGCCAGTGACGTGCACTGGTCGTGAAGGGGTTAAAAAAGATAATTACGCTTTAATATCACTTTAAATGAATTGCTTTAAAACATGGATCCTGTTCTGTGCAGTTGCAGTTCCTCCCCGTTAGCTCTGCTGCTGTTTGTGGTGCATCACATGTGTATATTAAACATGACTACGCACCTGAAGGGATCTCAATGCGTGACTTTGTCCAAAACTGACGCCCTGATCGAGACCTCTCGGCATTAAAGGCTCCTGTAAGACAATCCGAACAAGTCTCAGATCCAGTTACTATGTGATACCCAAACGTCATGAATTAAAACTTCCTTTACCTTCACTGACTGAGCCAAATCTTCCTTCATTTGTGTCTCACGCTCTCCCCCTCCCAAGCGCCGCAGCTCACAGTGGGAGGGTTTCAGCAGCAGAGGAGGTGCTGTCAATCTAGAAAGCAGTGGGCGGGACTAGGTGTGGCCAGGTGCTGATTGACAAGCTACAGGCCTATGAATCAGCAGTGACAATGCTGTTAGCCACTCCCCCCTTCAACATCTTCTCTTCCCACTGTAGTGCAAAAAGGCACAGCTTACATGAGAGTGACAACTCTGCTTTGCATTCAGGAACAGTGCAGCATTGTTGTCGCCACATCACTGGCAGGATAAACAGGTATTTGTGGGACTATGCAGGGGAAATAAGAGAAAACTGGACACATTTCCGTACCAGGATTTGAACCAAGCACCCAAGTACTGTAAGGCCAAAGTGCTAAATACTGAGCCACTGTTCTGTTTTTTGTCTTTGTCCTGTACTCTGTGTATTTTTCTTTTTGCATTTTATCGTTATATATGTACTCTTGTTTATATGTGTTCATTAAAAAAACATTATTTTTGATGTTTCTTTCCCGAAAAATTTGTTTTTTTTTGTTACAAGCGGCGGTCCCGGAGAGGTGAAATTTGCTTCCGTAACTTCCAGGAGCCAATTAAAGCCCGCTGCACCCTTACAAAGCACTATGGGGGGAATTTATCAATACTGGAACAGATTTGCACTGCAACCAATCAGCTTCTCTCTCTCATTTTCAAATATTACCTGGGCAAAGTGAAGAGAGAAGCTGATTGGCTGCCATGGGCAACGGCTCCAGATTCAGTTTTGATAAATTCCCCCCTATGTTTTCACCTTCCCCATTGACTTCAATGCATTGTACCAAAAAGGCGAATTTTACTGTCTGCTCCTCATTTTCAACTGAATTTCGAGGTGACTAGAACTTTCGAAGTGGCTCACCCTAAGGGCCCATTTACATTTTCATGGTGCTTTAATGTGAGTTTAAGCAACCACCTAAAAATATGCAGCAAAATTGGAAAACATGGGGCAAATTTATAAAAACTGGAGCAGACAGAACCTGGAGCAATTGCCCATAGCAACCAATCAACTTCTCTTTTTAGTTTGTTCAGTTACGCTTTAAAAATGAGAGAAGCTGATTGGTTACTACGGGCAACTGCTCCAGATTCCGTCTGCTTGTTTTTATTAGTTCCCTCCATTATTTGTATTGCAATACACTATTGTGCATTGTCTTAGCGCGCTGGCGCAACACATGTGCTTTGCATTACTATGTGTTAGATATAAATTGGCCTTTATTAACTACTAGCAATGACATGGAGGTTAAATGCTATTCAGCTTCTATTGAATTTACAAGTTCATCCAACTTCCACATCCACACAACTTATTAATTGCCATTACATTGTCACTGTGTCAGATCTAAATAAAGTTGATTCATCCGCCAAGCACGATGGCGGCATTTCGCCAGTACTAAACATGACGCTCGCCGCCTCCCAGCCGCACTTACAGCACAGCCATGCCCTCTTCAAGGATGAAGGTGCGGAAGTGACGTGACCGCTGGTGCCCTAGACAAAGATGGCACCTCCATGCTTTCTTCGTACGTTTTGCTGGGATGACGTATCTCCCTACGTGGGGGCAGAGCTGGGGGTTTAGGCCTAAACGGAAGTATGGGCCCCTGTATAATTGAGTAGTAGACCCCGCCCCGGCCTCTTTCCGCTCTGAGCTCCGACCGGCTAGGACCTAGGCGAGCAGACACGTGAGTGATAGATGAGGTTCCTGGGGCTCCGGTCGGATCGGAGCGGGTGCATTGTGTGCGGGAGGGAGCTGGGAACACCGGTAATGGTGGGCGGGGCGGATATTGTGCGGGTAACACACGTGGCGATGTGTTCCCTGGACTGACACGAGTCCAGCACTGTACACACGCCGCTGGGTCCGGGGTCAGGCCTGTGTGCGGGGCAGTGAGTAGTGTATGGTGTGTGTACATTGATCCTGGCATGGCTCTGCAGTTATAAAACTCCATATCACTTCCCTACAGATGTGCATTAAAGAGAACCTGTCTCCAATGACTCCCTTTAGAAAAGACTTCTGATTCTATATAAAAACAATGGATTCCCCCGATTCCTCTTCATGTGATTTTATACCCATGTGTCCCTTCCTAGCACTATGGAAGGAGCCTCTGTGCTCTCTGGAGCTGGCTGTCTATGGCAATCTGATTGTATAACCAAGTCCATGCCGTGTGATAGGACTCTTATTACCTTACCTCATCTGGGCAAAGTGACAGGTTCTCTTGAAAGTGCATGTTGTAGAGGTGATGGCATTCCAGTTAAGCCCGCATTCACGTGTGTGTCCATGACTGTGCGCCAAACACACCACATGTTGATGGAAAAGCTGCAAAACCTAAAGGAAGTTTGGGAATTGAGTGATTGGCGGTATGTGATTGGCCCAGTCCTCCTGGATCCGTGGAGCCGGTGATCGGCCCGGCCGTCCTCCTGGATCCGTGGAGCCGGTGATCGGCCCGGCCGTCCTCCTGGATCCGGTGTGCACGATATTAGCGCAACTTATTATCAAACCCAAAAATTCTATGAAAAAACGCATTTATGTTAAATTTAGTGCCCCAGAACATGATAAAATACCCATTTTTAAAAAATAAAATATATAAGATGAGGTTACGAGTACATAGATACCCAACACGCCCAGGTTACAAATTGTGTGCGTCTGTGAAAACGGCGACAAAATTCAGTACCCACAAAAAGTCCATAGACGACGCTTTAAAAGCCCCTACAGGTCATCAGTTTAGAGATACACATACGTAGGCGCACCCGGCGCATGTTTACAGAAGAACGCGCGTGTTCGCGGGGGACTTTAAAAATGTTTTAAATGATCACTCTGTAACAAACGTAGAAATACTTTGCCGCACTCCTTACCGGGAAGCCCCAAAATAAGGGGGGGGAGGGTGCTCGCAGTGACCGCGGATGGCGCAGCCAAACAGTAAAAAATAAACGGATGTCATCAGCACACCAATAGTGTTGAAGTCCAAAGTGTTTGTTTATTGGAACATCATGTCATCGCTGAGCCTGATGAAGGGGACCCTGCGTGGCCCCGAAAAGCGTCAGTTCTGGTGACATGATTTTCCCTTAAACAAACACTTTGGACTTCAACACTATTGGTGTGCTGGTGACACCCATATCACTCTGTAGTCCCATCCTGGGACCTTACATAGGACCCTGCAAGAGGAAGGGACCACCCTAAATCCTAAATACTTGCCCCCCATGTGATAGCATACTTGCTATTTTACTTGCCCCCCCATGTGATAGCATACTTGCTATTTTACTTGCCCCCCATGTGATAGCATACTTGCTATTTTACTTGCCCCCCCATGTGATAGCATACTATGGGGGGATTATCCCGTCATAGGTCGTGAAGGGGTTAAACGGGTACGCTGCCAGTGACGTGCACTGGTCGTGAAGGGGTTAAAAAAGATAATTACGCTTTAATATCACTTTAAATGAATTGCTTTAAAACATGGATCCTGTTCTGTGCAGTTGCAGTTCCTCCCCGTTAGCTCTGCTGCTGTTTGTGGTGCATCACATGTGTATATTAAACATGACTACGCACCTGAAGGGATCTCAATGCGTGACTTTGTCCAAAACTGACGCCCTGATCGAGACCTCTCGGCATTAAAGGCTCCTGTAAGACAATCCGAACAAGTCTCAGATCCAGTTACTATGTGATACCCAAACGTCATGAATTAAAACTTCCTTTACCTTCACTGACTGAGCCAAATCTTCCTTCATTTGTGTCTCACGCTCTCCCCCTCCCAAGCGCCGCAGCTCACAGTGGGAGGGTTTCAGCAGCAGAGGAGGTGCTGTCAATCTAGAAAGCAGTGGGCGGGACTAGGTGTGGCCAGGTGCTGATTGACAAGCTACAGGCCTATGAATCAGCAGTGACAATGCTGTTAGCCACTCCCCCCTTCAACATCTTCTCTTCCCACTGTAGTGCAAAAAGGCACAGCTTACATGAGAGTGACAACTCTGCTTTGCATTCAGGAACAGTGCAGCATTGTTGTCGCCACATCACTGGCAGGATAAACAGGTATTTGTGGGACTATGCAGGGGAAATAAGAGAAAACTGGACACATTTCCGTACCAGGATTTGAACCAAGCACCCAAGTACTGTAAGGCCAAAGTGCTAAATACTGAGCCACTGTTCTGTTTTTTGTCTTTGTCCTGTACTCTGTGTATTTTTCTTTTTGCATTTTATCGTTATATATGTACTCTTGTTTATATGTGTTCATTAAAAAAACATTATTTTTGATGTTTCTTTCCCGAAAAATTTGTTTTTTTTTGTTACAAGCGGCGGTCCCGGAGAGGTGAAATTTGCTTCCGTAACTTCCAGGAGCCAATTAAAGCCCGCTGCACCCTTACAAAGCACTATGGGGGGAATTTATCAATACTGGAACAGATTTGCACTGCAACCAATCAGCTTCTCTCTCTCATTTTCAAATATTACCTGGGCAAAGTGAAGAGAGAAGCTGATTGGCTGCCATGGGCAACGGCTCCAGATTCAGTTTTGATAAATTCCCCCCTATGTTTTCACCTTCCCCATTGACTTCAATGCATTGTACCAAAAAGGCGAATTTTACTGTCTGCTCCTCATTTTCAACTGAATTTCGAGGTGACTAGAACTTTCGAAGTGGCTCACCCTAAGGGCCCATTTACATTTTCATGGTGCTTTAATGTGAGTTTAAGCAACCACCTAAAAATATGCAGCAAAATTGGAAAACATGGGGCAAATTTATAAAAACTGGAGCAGACAGAACCTGGAGCAATTGCCCATAGCAACCAATCAACTTCTCTTTTTAGTTTGTTCAGTTACGCTTTAAAAATGAGAGAAGCTGATTGGTTACTACGGGCAACTGCTCCAGATTCCGTCTGCTTGTTTTTATTAGTTCCCTCCATTATTTGTATTGCAATACACTATTGTGCATTGTCTTAGCGCGCTGGCGCAACACATGTGCTTTGCATTACTATGTGTTAGATATAAATTGGCCTTTATTAACTACTAGCAATGACATGGAGGTTAAATGCTATTCAGCTTCTATTGAATTTACAAGTTCATCCAACTTCCACATCCACACAACTTATTAATTGCCATTACATTGTCACTGTGTCAGATCTAAATAAAGTTGATTCATCCGCCAAGCACGATGGCGGCATTTCGCCAGTACTAAACATGACGCTCGCCGCCTCCCAGCCGCACTTACAGCACAGCCATGCCCTCTTCAAGGATGAAGGTGCGGAAGTGACGTGACCGCTGGTGCCCTAGACAAAGATGGCACCTCCATGCTTTCTTCGTACGTTTTGCTGGGATGACGTATCTCCCTACGTGGGGGCAGAGCTGGGGGTTTAGGCCTAAACGGAAGTATGGGCCCCTGTATAATTGAGTAGTAGACCCCGCCCCGGCCTCTTTCCGCTCTGAGCTCCGACCGGCTAGGACCTAGGCGAGCAGACACGTGAGTGATAGATGAGGTTCCTGGGGCTCCGGTCGGATCGGAGCGGGTGCATTGTGTGCGGGAGGGAGCTGGGAACACCGGTAATGGTGGGCGGGGCGGATATTGTGCGGGTAACACACGTGGCGATGTGTTCCCTGGACTGACACGAGTCCAGCACTGTACACACGCCGCTGGGTCCGGGGTCAGGCCTGTGTGCGGGGCAGTGAGTAGTGTATGGTGTGTGTACATTGATCCTGGCATGGCTCTGCAGTTATAAAACTCCATATCACTTCCCTACAGATGTGCATTAAAGAGAACCTGTCTCCAATGACTCCCTTTAGAAAAGACTTCTGATTCTATATAAAAACAATGGATTCCCCCGATTCCTCTTCATGTGATTTTATACCCATGTGTCCCTTCCTAGCACTATGGAAGGAGCCTCTGTGCTCTCTGGAGCTGGCTGTCTATGGCAATCTGATTGTATAACCAAGTCCATGCCGTGTGATAGGACTCTTATTACCTTACCTCATCTGGGCAAAGTGACAGGTTCTCTTGAAAGTGCATGTTGTAGAGGTGATGGCATTCCAGTTAAGCCCGCATTCACGTGTGTGTCCATGACTGTGCGCCAAACACACCACATGTTGATGGAAAAGCTGCAAAACCTAAAGGAAGTTTGGGAATTGAGTGATTGGCGGTATGTGATTGGCCCAGTCCTCCTGGATCCGTGGAGCCGGTGATCGGCCCGGCCGTCCTCCTGGATCCGTGGAGCCGGTGATCGGCCCGGCCGTCCTCCTGGATCCGGTGATCGGCCCGGCCGTCCTCCTGGATCCGGTGATCGGCCCGGCCGTCCTCCTGGATCCGTGGAGCCGGTGATCCATCGAGATCTCCAAATGGTGACTTCACATCCGGTGACTGCCAGTAGGAGATTTAGACCAGATGGAGCTAGTGCGTGTGCGCTAGCCGCCTCAATCCTGAAATCCCCGCACTGCGCCTGCGTGCCTTCATCCGGCATGTCGAGTTCTCCAACGCTACTCGCATCGCTTGCGTGTCTTCACCTTCCCTGCCATGCAGGCGCACTGAGTGGGGTTGTAGGATTCGACTGCAATTATGGAGCCGTGCGGTGACACCAGTTAGAGATTTGGACAAGGAGTGTATGAATTATTGTATTCGTAAGGCTGGCGCACACAGTGTCCACAGGTGGTCTGACGCTCCGACTCGCAAGTCACTGGACGTGACATCAGCCGTCGGTGATCTCGAAGTGTTGGAGGTCAACAAGGACGTCATCTTTGCCAACCACCTTCTGGAAATACTAGTTGCCTGGCTGTTGTGATGGTCCTCTTCAGTATTTCAGTCACTGACCTAGAACTATTCTACCGATAAGTCTGACTTTCCCGATCGGCATATTTGTTCCTGAAAGTACTGATGGCAAGCGGTATAATTGGTAAGTAGCATCTTCAGGAGGATATTGGCAATGTGACCCTTAAGGAACACCGTAAACATGGAAGGCTAGAGAAGGTAGGCATAGTTTTTGCCTCTACCAGTGATCAAGGTTTCAGTGTATTTTGGAGGTGTTGCACTGCCAGACTCATCTAAACATACGACTAGGTGCGGGGAGGGGGAGCGAGGATTATACTATGATGCATACATGCAATACCTGATTTATGTTCTATATCTGAAAGGACGGGGGGAAAGGTGTATGGGTGGCCATTGCCTGCGTGGTTTCAGCGGTCATTAGTAAATACAAGATTGCCATTTGATCTCCAGTTTCCTATTGGTGTTGGGTTTGGATATCGCTCTCATTGGAATCTCTTCCTGTTCATCCAACTCTTGTTTTTGTTGCAGGATGGCAGATTGGGAAAATGCTCCTGTCGGGGCCGAGTCCCCTGAAATTAAACTGTTCGGGAAATGGAGTACCGATGATGTCCAGATCAATGACATCTCACTGCAGGTACGGGATATCATCTGGAAGTGTAATCCAAAGCAGCCAGATGTTCACTGTCATTGTCTAGCATGATGGTGGATGGAATTTGGTTGCTATGGACAATACCTTGACTTGGTCCTCTGGTCAATCCCCTCTGAAGTGTTTATTTATGCAGTCTTTTGGGCCAAGGCCCACGTCCGTCCCCCCTCCAGGGCCGTGCCCGCTCACGTCCGTCCCCCCTCCAGGGCCGTGTCCTGGGCCATATCATTTGGCATTCATGTGAGGTTCTCTCATTGTTGGCTTTCCTGAGAAACCATTAGGTTATTTCTCCTAAAGCTGAAATAACTAGAGTTGGGTAGACCCTTCTGTAGTACACACAGTTTAGTGTTATTTTAAAGAGTGCAGCTTTGTCGCTCAATATAATGCAGCCATCAACCATTTTATAAGGAGGACAAACACCTCGGAGAATGCAACCTTTCAGATCACTTTGAACACATGTTGCAGAGATGTCACTCGAGTGTTTTTGCCGGTTTGATAATAGTTGTGCTCGCGCTGTGTACATGACGGGTATACTTTGATAAGATCTGTATGTGTTACTATGAATTTTGATTTCCAGGATTACATTGCCGTTAAGGAGAAGTATGCCAAGTACCTTCCACACAGCGGAGGTCGTTATGCCGCCAAACGCTTCCGTAAGGCCCAGTGCCCCATTGTGGAGCGTCTGACAAACTCCCTCATGATGCACGGCAGGAACAACGGCAAGAAGCTGATGACGGTCAGGATTACCAAGCACGCCTTTGAGATCATCCACCTGCTGACCGGGGAGGTGAGTAGAACTCTGTTCAGACGGCCCGATCCAATCACCATTTCTAGTAGCCTTTAAAAGACTAAAATGTTCTGCTTTGGAATGAGACGTTGGGCACAATTCACAGAGTTTACATCAATATTTGTAGAGTTCTAACTCTTTTTAGCCATGTTTGGTTCTCATCTCCGAAATCAAACATTGTGGAAAATGTTGTAACTGAGCGAATTGAGTCCTTTGTGCACTGGTATGTCCGGACCACACAAGTTACGTGGAATAACTTAGTTGTAGGCAGGTTTGGGGTGGCAAATGTAACTCTTGAAATATAATTCAAGTTGCGCCAGTCTTGTGGTATGTTTAGACCTTCATGTCTCTAGATGTGCAAATTATTTAAATTAGCAATTAACAAAATTTAAAGAACTATGGGGTTAGGGCTTTTCCCCATCGTTCTCCTAAGGGTCATGGGAGAACATAAACTAGCGTTCTCCCCGTCACCCAAAGCTCAGTATACCAAAACGCTGGAACGGATCCCGACATTGCTGTCAAGATCCACACAGCTGCGAGATTGACAGCTGGCTCTGCCTATCTAGAGGCAGAGCCAGCTGTGCCCGTCCATTCTGCCAGTCAGCGCTGGCTGGATCGGGGAGGGGGGATCCCTGCAGGGAGCCGTGAGTGACGTTCACTGCTCTCTGCAGGGATAGATCGAGAAGTGAGCGAGCGACGGTATGTGTTCGCTCACTTCCCGATCTACTGAGCCGACGTGTGACCGTTTTAGTGTCACAGGTCGGCTCAGATTATGAGGCGAATGAAAATCACTCATCATAATTCTCCTTTTTAACCCTCGTAGTTGGGTGTTTCCCCTGCACGGTAAGGGTTAACGCCTCATTTTGGTCTAGGGGCTGGATTAAATAAAATATACTAGACCGGTCCCTGCAGCCTCCTTTTTTTTTTTTTCCTTGGGCTCTGGCGTCCTAAACCCTGCTGAGATCGCACCTAATACAGGTTAGGGTTAGCAGACCATACACCTATAGATTGCCTGCAGATTTTCTATGGTCAGATTCCTCCATCTACGCTACACTGTGGGGATGGAGGAATCTCCGGCTGGGCCAAGCTTCAGTATCTTGCTAGTCGGCCCCGCTGGCTCTCCAAACACCTAAACAATGCCGGTATCCAATCAGATTGTTCAGGTGTTTTGAGAGCCAGCGCGGCCGACTAGCAAGATACTGAAGCTTGGCCCAGTGGGAGACTCCTCCATACACACAGAATAGCGTAGATGGAGGAATCTGACCATAGAAAATCTGCAGACAATCTATAGATGTATGGCCAGCAGTAGACGTGAGACTGTCAAGGGACATTCCACCAGCTGGACGGAGTAGGTGAGTGCTGGTTGTCACAGGACCGAGTATCAGGTGAGTATTGTGTGTTCTGGCCCCTAGACCAAAACTGACAGTTAGCCCTTGCAATGAGTGGATAGCCCCACTGCGAGGGTTAATTTTATTAGTTGGAGTTCCTCTTTAATCATCATCAGCATTGACTTTCCAGCAAACCTGTGTTATCACTTGGAGCTTTGTAACCGAAATTCAAGCTGGCCACCCAGGTTACAATAGTGTGGTGACCCACCATCCAGTTTATATCCAGTCAGATAGACCCGCACTATACAGAGGTTTGGAAATATACCACAGAGATCGTACTATTAGATGGTATTGGGTTTGGCTAGCTCTGGTCTTTGCCTGGTTGGCCAGCATCGCACACACAATTCTTTCCATTATCCTGATTTTTGGAAAGGTGGGAAACCTGTGTATGTTGGGAGTGTATATTGGGCCTTATCGCCTTGATTTGCAGTGAATGTGTTTTATGCCGGCCATATACATACCGGTGAATGTTTAATCATTTATCAGATTGTTAAACAATTTCTTGGCACAGCGAGCAAAAGATAATCGCCATTTACACTTTCTGGTTTCCCTCCCAGTCGGCCCTTTTGTCATTTCAGCAACATGCCAAGCTAAAGGGGCTGAATCTGTGCAAGAAGCTTGCTAAAGGTCCAACTGTACCTGGTTCAAGTGTCAAATGCATCCGGTTGTCAAAGTACCTGTAAACCGAACACGTTATCAACATCAGGGCGATGCTTACCCCTCACACTGCCCCCCCCTCCCCCCCTCTGGGTTTAGCATGCCGTTTCCCCATAGACAGAAGTGTTCTCAGTCTGTAGGTAGGGATAAATGCATGATTGAAACTTCCTCCCTGGAACCCTGTTGCTGTCGCTCTCCAGCTAGGGACAGGCTGATGGGTGTACAGGAGTCCATATGTCTGTGTGAGTCTAGTTCACTGATAATGCAATGCTGGGTGGAGGTTGTGGCAGCAAAACTGACTATGGGGGTTGCAGGCACGCTGTGCGTCCTCATATCCTCTGAATCCAAGTAACAATCCCAGGAATGCAAACTGACAATATTTTTTGTTTTTCCTCCTTTTTTCAGAACCCTCTGCAAGTGTTGGTGAACGCCATCATTAACAGCGGTCCCCGTGAAGACTCCACCCGTATCGGTAGAGCCGGAACAGTGAGGCGACAGGCTGTGGACGTGTCCCCACTGCGAAGAGTCAACCAGGTGACTGCAGATTAAGTATTTTAAATTTGGGCCATCTAGCGCTACATTTTTAAGTCCGTTTTTGGCCATCTGAAACATGTTCCCAACCCAAAAAGGGTTTTAAAGTGTACCTGTCATACAGAGTGCTCAACTGGTATTCCACAATCAAATTATCTGGCACAATGGCATGCTTCAGTGATGTACTAGTTCCATTTAAATTTGCTACGTGCCCAAAATTGTGATGGGATTTGGGCAGCAGGTGCACTTTAAAGCATCTGCAGATTCTCACCTATTCGAATGACACTTCCACAGTCCTTGTTCTGGTCTGGATCTCTGTGCTCTTCTATAGAACTGACACCTCAAACCTTTCAGCAATGGACGCACTCCAGGAGCGCTCTCTGCATAACTCCTAATTGCAGTTTACACGGACTGAACCCAACTTAAGAGATCTATGGGTTAAGTGTTCCCCCCCCCCCCATAGTTCTCAGGGTTATGGGAGGACATATACTAACCTCCTCCCATGACTCAAAGCTTAGTATATTGCGTGCATACTAAGAGCGCCACAGGCGGGACGGATCCTGACAAAACCGTCCAGATCCACCCAGCTGCATGAGTGACAGCTGGCTCTGCCTATCTAGAGGCAGAGCCAGCTGTGCCCCTTCCCGTCCGTTCCTCCACTCAGCTGAAGGGGAGGTGGGGGAATCCCTTAGTGGAGCCGTGATTGACGGTCACGCAGGGAGACTATCGGGAAGTAAGCAGATCGGCGGCATGTTTCTGCTCACTTCCCGATCAATAGAGCCGACCTGTGACAGCTTCTTTGTCACACGTCGGCTCTAACTATGAGGATGAGTGGAGATCACTCGCCTCATAGTTCTCCTTTTTAGGGATCTGAGTGCTCCTGTAGAACGTCTATGCCGCAGTGTTGGAAAATGTTTAGCTGACATAAGATTCTGTTTCTCTAAGTCTTGATCTCTTGTTATCGCAGGCTATCTGGCTCTTGTGCACCGGTGCTCGTGAAGCTGCCTTCAGGAACATTAAGACCATTGCAGAATGTGTCGCTGATGAGCTCATCAATGCAGCCAAGGTAAATGAGGGGTGCACGGGGTGAAAAATCTATACTGAGGGGTCATGTGACATTGAGTTATTAAATATAAGGTGCATGTGTCCATAGACTGTAAAGTTTGAAGCTGGTTAAAAGTTGGAGTGTAAATAGATCAGATATTTTATCTGTTCAGCTTTATGAAGGAAATCTGTACTGACAATTGCGGAGACTGCCATTGGTGACTCCTGAAATTGCTGATTGCCTGGCTCTAGATTCAGTAGTTTAAGACAAATGTGTAAGTCAGGAAAGTCAGAACTACTAATTAGCATACTTCAACTAGGTCAGTGGGAATTTTCCCAGACCATTGGCTCTACATATGACGGTCAGGGATCTTGTGTTTTTTGGAGGAGAGGTCAGCAGGGCAGTCTCCCCCATACCTCTCATAGCCAAGGATTCCATCTGGTGCTGGTTTCATTGTAAAGAAATCACTGTGCACGATGCTGTGGTGATCTCTTTTCTCCTCACCAGTGCCGAACTGGAAGGAAGTTAGGGGATTCGGCTGTGACAAATGGCATCCATACTGACAGGTTCCCTTTAGAGACTGTTGCTTCAGTTAGTGAAAAGTGACAGGTTGTGCTCTTCTCCATTCCTTTATTGGAGCCACAATCCCTGTGTAAGCTGTGTATTAGTTGATGTTGGAGCTTACATAGGGTTAATGACATCCTGCCCACAAGCGAGTGTCTGGGCCTGACGATTGGCTGCTCAGACCCAAGCAGCATGTCCTTGGAAGGAATGGGAGGAAGTTGTGTGCTCCCCCATATTGGTAAGCACCAGCTATTTCCCATAGGGCACTGACATAGCAATGGCATAGTAGGGCAGCCTCAGTGAAGTATTGCATGGAGGGGTTATGTCATCAACAGAGTCTCAACAGACCTCTCCCTCTGCATTCTCAGTAGATGGAAATGAGTGTCTGGGTTGCTTCATTGACTGAATTCATCCTCCTATTTCTTTTAAATGGATCTGGGGGGGGGGGGGGGGGGGGG